GCACAGGGCCCTGTGTACTATAGCTTGGTGACCGTCATTTATTTGGCATTTATATATTACCTGGCTACCTAACTCTCCAACCTAATCTCTCCCTACTGCCTATGTATAAGATTGAAGATCTAAAGCTAGAAGGGGCCTCCAGTTGAGGAAACTGAGGCCCAGGGAGATTAAATGCCTTGCCCAACATATTTATAAATGGTAAGCATCAAAGGCGTAATTTGAACCCAAGATCCTCACAATCCAAAGCCTGTGCCTCCCTAATTGGAGAAATGAGGACTGCCAGCAGGCTGTTATCACCACCCTCAACCCTTTTCCCATCTCCAACTGTCCACTTTCTTTCTGCCCAATTCTGAGGCTTATCAGAGGATGGTATATAGGGAGTCCAAGACAAATGTGTGTTTCTTACAGGTAGTTGAATGCAAGTCTCTGGTCTATTTCTCTTAGATCCAAAGAGTAGATATTGGGACAAGTCTTTTCTTGAAACTTTACCAAAATGATCTCTCTTTTTTGGGTTCATGATGGGCTTAAGACTAATTTTGTCCACTTAATGATACATAAATTTCCTGGGCCTTCCAGGATGAATCCTAGAAGTGATGGTGATGCATTTTCTTAGCCTGACTGTGTTTTTGCATGTCTTTTTGCATGGAGTGGTAGCAACCAGAGGAGAGAGGAGGCTAAGAGCCCTGATCAGACTGTGTCCCTGGGTCCTTGAGGAGACTGAGGACTATATTGGAAGTGATTTCCTCAGGGACCTATAAATGGTTTAACTGCATATCAACCACTTGGGACCTTGGGAGGTTCCAGAAAATTGATTTAATCAACAAATATTTATTGAGAGTCTGCTACTATGTACTTACTCTACCTTTTAAGAGGTTCTGTGAGAGATGCAGAAAAAAAAAATCTGAAATATGGTCCCTACTTCAGGTAGCTTACAGGAAGCAAAATATTTATGCATGTAATATCTAAATACATGATGGAATCTGATTATGATTTCACATGGAAATGAATGATGTGGAAGTGATATAGGAATTAAGAGAAGGAAAAGATTAGCTGTAGCCAGAAAGCTTCCTTGAAGAAGGAGTTACATGATCTGGGCCTTAAAAAATGGGCTGTAAAAGTACTGGATTAGGGGAATGCATCCTAGACTGGAAGAAGAGTGCCTCATAATAAATCCTGCAGGCCTGATAAAGAGACCATTCACTGTTGAAACTTCTATCAACCACTGCTAAAAGACAGTCTCTGGTATCTGCATCTCCTGAAACTAGCGCCATAGTAGGAGAACTCCATCAGATCTACATCTAGAATAAGATGGGTTGTGTGGTGGTGTAATGGGGAGTCTCCTAGAGTTGGTAGCCCTAGCTCTTCCACTAACAATATTTATTACTTTGAATCACTATATCCCTGTGGTCCTCAACTTCTTCATCTGTAATATGGATTTATATGTGTTTGAAGGTCCTGTGTACCTCCTCCCCAGTGAAATTCTTTTGCCATGATTCTTTGAGTCTATGACTCAGTCTCTTTTCCCACTGGATAGTTGAGAGAGGTTAGGAGAGAAGTCAAGGGCAAATGACTCCATTCCTTGGGAATCCCCAGTAGGAATGCCTACATCTTGCAAGGATTTATTCAACAATATTCTTTATTCCCTTTCCTGTCTTCTCCTTCTTCAACTTCTGGAGCCAATAGGGGTTCTTAACTAATTTCTGTTCCTATCTTTCTCCTTCTTTTCAGAGTCTTCTGTCTTAATGATTCTTCTTGACTGTAGCATCAGAGATTCTTAGACCTGAACTGGACCCTCAAGATCATTTAAACCAATCCTCCTGTTATAATGACTTGCCCAAGGTCACACTTTAAGTAACTGAAAGTAGAGCCCAAGTCTCTTGATTCCTAGCACCATGTTCTTTTTACTCCTTTATACTGCTTCCCAGGAGAGTCTTTCTTCTCTTCCATCATTTAACTTGGTTCATTTCGCTTTTGCTTTTTCAGAGTTTGAGTTCCCTCCTCCTTTATAGCTTTGAGTATTTGTGTGGAGGGGAAATGATTTTTCTGGTTTTCTCTCACTTCAGCAATCTATAATTCTATGGAACTTTTATGACAAAGAGTTTTGCTTCTTCTAAGATAATCTCAGCCTAGAAATTCAATTTTCTTTTCCTCTTGGGCTCCTAGTAGAGCTGTCACTCAGTTATTTGACAGTTTTGTAAATAATATCAAAACCAGTAAACCTCCCAACACACAACTATTATAAACTGCGTAAGGTTTAGGGCAACAGAACCAGGGAGAGGAAACCTGAGCCTAGATCTTTCTGGGAAAATCAGCCCTTATAAGTATATTGTCATGATTGAGAAGAGTGCACGTGGGCCCATCCTTCTGAGAAGCTGCCTTACCAAGTCTGGAGAGAGGAAGGAAGACCAACTGAAGGAGAGGGGGATGGGTGGGTCTGAACCAAGGAAAGGACCTCAGTTATAGAGGGTGGACACGCCCCAGAAGAGGCCAAGCTGAGAGACTGAGAAAATAGATCCTTCTGTGCCTTACTAGAAATGGGGGAGAGATGTGTTTGCCAAATTTAGCATCTGCTTTAGATTCTAAATATAGACCTTTAAGCTTCCAGTGCTTTGTGACTTTGCAAAGGCACAATTCTAAGCGGTTGCCTCCCCCTGACCCCCCCCTTTTTTTTTTTGGTAAATATTTTTAATCCCTGGGTAGGAAGCAGCTTAAGAGGCCCTATTGTTTGTGTACAATGGGTTTTCATTTGAAAAAAAGAAAAATTTATCTGAGCTTCCCCCTTGAAGAGCAGGAGGAAGTGATGTATGATGCTGAACAGGAGCATCAAATCACATTCAGATTGTGCTCCTTGGGAGAGGGTCTTAGGGGATGAACAATGGCATAGATCTATGTCCTAGTCCATGCAGAAGCAGCAAATAAATAAAGCATTGGTTCACTTTCATTTCACAAGATATTTTGATATTCCAGTTCAGTAGTTTCAGAATATACCTGTTTGGTTCTAGCTCTCAACTAGGTTGTTTTGTGGAACTTTGGGTTCGGTTCATGATTTGACAAAAAGAAGTTAGGTTAGATTTTGTGTCCTTCCAGGGCAGGGACTGACTGCCTTTGCCTTTCTTTGTATCCCCAGTGCTTAGCAAGGTGCCTGGCATGTAGAAGGTATTCAGTAAATGCTTAATGAGTGTCAGGTGATGAGCGTGGAATTCACACCTTCCTCTTGACCACTTTTCAGAATCCTTTTTTTCCTTCCAGACTCATCTTAATTGCCACCACCTTCTTGGAGCTTTCCCTGATGTTGATTCTAACCTTTGCCCAGCTGAAAGCATCCTTCTCATCCTTATATTTTCCTAGAAAACTTGTTTGGATCTCTCCTTTGCTTTCATCACATTCTATCCTGTATTATTTGTGTATGTGTCATATTCCCCCTCCATCAGAATATGAGTTCCTTGAGAGAAGTGATTGTTCCATTTACATCATTGTATTCTCAGAACTAAGTATGAAATCCATCAGAGCTGGTTTAAAAATATTTGTGGTATGAATGAATGGTCCATTTCTGCTTTCTGTTCATAGTGTAGTGGTCTCATCTGGGACTTGAAGGCTATAATTCCATCATGATGGGCTATTCTTTGAATTTAATTATCCTAAGGAGTCAGATTTTATTCCCTCTCCACTTCCAGCTATTAAACAAAGTTCTTCCCCCCCCCAATGTTTTATTAATGTTCTTTTCTTTTTTTACATCACCATTCCATTCCCAAAATAGAAGCTTCTCATAATGAATAAATAGAATCGTGGAAATTAAGTCAACACACTGGCCAAAAAGAATTGGAAACCCAGGGGATGCCCATCATTTGGGGAATGGCTATACAAGTTTTGGTATACTAATGTGATAGAATACTGTAAATAATGAAAGGGACCATTTCAGAGAAGCCTGGGAAGATTTATATGAACTGATGCAAAGTGAGGTGAACAGAACCAAGAGAAAAGTTTATACAGTAACAACAATATTGTAGAGACAAACAACTTTGAAAGAATTAGGAGCTCTGATCAATACAATGACCAACTACAATTCCAGAGGACTCACGATAAAACATGCTACCCACCTTTTATAGAAAGATGATGGACCCAGAGTACAGACTGAGACTTTTTTTTGGACGTGGTCAATGTATGAATTTGTTTTGCTTGATTATATGTGTTTGTAACAGGAGCTCTGTTTTTCTTGCTTTCTCAGTGGGTGTGAGTATGGGAGAGGGAAAGAGATGAAAGAGAGAGAGGGCAGATCTTTGAAAATGAAATTTAATTTTAAAAAACATTGACCAAGTTGGAAAATGCATATCTCATTTCATACCTATAATTTGCCATCTGTTTGCCTAGAGGTGAGAGGCATGCGTCACTGTCAGACCTCTGACATCAAGATTGGTCATTGTATTGATTGGAGTTCTGAAGATATAGAAGAGTTCAAGGGAAGCCTAGGGAACAGGTTTTGATCAAATGAAAACATCAGAGAACTTCCATGATAGCAATTCCAGCCTCTTCTCATAGCCCTGGTAAAATGGAATTGGAGAACAAGAACATTTTAAAGTTAGAAGAAACCTTTGGACATAGAATATTAGAGCTAGAACAGAACTTAGGGTCCATCCAATCTAGCCCCTCTCTGAGGCCCAGTGAGGAGCCATCACTTGGCAAAGGTCACACAGCAAATCAGTGTCAGAGATAGAATTAGAACCCAGGTGTGACTCTCAGTGAATTGGTTTTTCCATTAAACCACTCTTCATTTTGCAAGTTTCTTCCAGTTTATGGATGTGAAACAGATTTCTTTATTGCTAGTAGCCCATGTCTTCATTGAACTTGTAACTCAGACCTCTTTGTTAGCACCATGGTGTAACCAGTGAGGAAACAGGCCAGACCCTGGGTGCCCGTGGGTGCATTTGCCTCAGGCCTACCATTCACCCACTGAGGCCTGCTCCTACCCGGGCTCTCAACCTCTTCTGTGCTCCCTCTCACAGGTGCCATTGGACGAACGAGTCATCTTCTCTGGGAACCTGTTTCAGTACCTGGAAGACAGCAAGAAGTGGAGGAATCGCTTTAGCCTCGTGCCACACAACTATGGGCTCGTGCTGTATGAGAACAAAGCTGTAAGTGCTGTTGGAGCAGGGGACTAGACTGGAATGGGCACTGGAATGGGGTGGGGAGGGGCAGTGAGGGGTCTAGGCCCAGGCTTTCCAGCCTCGCAGAGTCAGTGGAGAAAGGCCTTGGACTCCAGCCCACTTTCTTTCCTTGGTGTGAGATCTCCCCCCACTCCAAATCCTTCATTGTAACAGAAAGTAGTAGCTTTGTCTTTATCTTGTTAGTTGTGCCGTCATCATCATCATCATCATCATCATCATCATCATCATCATCATTATCATCATCATCATTATTCATTCCTAGATCTGCTTTGTCAGGGAATCCTTGATCAGCCCTGCTCCCCATCTCAATTCCCTGCCCAACATCAGCCTAGGCTTCACCTTTTTCTTCCTACCCCTGCTCCAGTATAAACTTCTACCCTAAGGGGATACATGTAGCACTTAGTATCACTAGTGTTACTACATATGGCTGTACGTGGTAAGGGAGAGGAAAGGCATTGAATTTGTGGTTTCACTGGTATGGAGAACTCCTTGATAAGGAAACTCACTCCGCCAATGCAGATCAGTACTTTCTCTGCAGCTTACATCTTATCATTGATGAGATGTACTTTTTCCATTAAACCATACTTCATTTTGCATGTTTCTTCCAGCTTTTGGATGTGAAACAGATTTCTTTGTGGCAATTAGCCTGTGTCTTGATTGAACTTGTAACTCAGACCTCTTTGTTAGCACCATAGTGTACCCAGTAAGGAAACAGGCCAGATCTGGGGTGGAAGTAAGATGTACCATGGTCTTAGAGATTTGCCTAAAACAATGACTTAGGGTCCACAGCCAGTATGTGTTAGGGGCAGGACTCGAATCCAGGTCCTTCTGACTTCAAGTTCAGTTTTCATATACCACACTGATTCTGGGCACATAGTAAGCACTTAATAAATGCTTATTGACTGACTGATTCAAGTGCTATTCTGGGAAAGTAGCAGAAAGAAAGGAACAGCAGGGGTTGTTATTAAAAAAAAAAAGCCGACTCCCTTCTCTTTATCTGCATCCCTGGGTGGGGAAGGGGTAGTATGGGTAATCAGAATAGACAGATAAGGCCTGAATTGATTGTTGCCCATGGTTACTACTTCCTTTCCCACCAAAACCTTCCTCCAAGCAAGCTGAGCAGTTAAACTGAATTTCATTCCCTGGGTGCTGTCATGTCCCTTGCTTACACAAAAGTGATACACAGCATGATAAAAGTCAGGGTCTGGTTCATTTTATGTAATCTGAAGCTTTATAAAGACATTTTAAGGATGGAATGCTTCATATGTTGGATGTCGGTGCCTATTGGTAGAGGGCAAAATGCAAGTGCTTTATCTAGCATCTGTTTAGACATTATTAAGTGACTTTTCTTTTCTTGGTGTTTTGTAGGAAGTCATTACTCTCCTGTCCTCCTCCCTCAACTTTTTATCTGGAATACTCAGGAAAAAAACCACTGGGTTGGGTTAGGATGTTGGGAAGGGTTAGTGCTACTTTAAGCAGCCAGAATTGCACTAAGGGAGCCAGGAATTGGGATATAGTTTGGGATTCAGCAGTAGCCCCTTCCTAGGTTGACTTTCTTCTCAATCCCTTCAGGCCTACGAGAGACAGATCCCACCCCGAGCTATCATCAACAGCGCAGGCTATAAAATCCTTACCTCAATGGATCACTACCTAGAACTCGTCGGTAACTCTTTACCAGGTAACATGCTGCCCTGGGTGGAAAGAGATGACTGCAGCGTTAAAATGCCTTTCTTATAATGGAATGGGTTTACACAGAGCTAAGTGCCTCGATGACCAGTGGCACACATTTGTAGAAGAGCCATCTGGACTATGTGGAACAGAGTATGAGTTCATCGGCTTTGATGACTGGCCTCATAAACACCAGCCTCTAACCAGCTGAGCTGTACGGCCACGGTGACACATAGTCGTGCTGCAAGCTTTAGCTTCATCCTGGCAAACTAAAGCAAGGAAAATGAGGGGCCAGAATTCAAAGGGAAGGCAGGAAAAAGAAGTGGGCCAATGTGGATGCCAGTTTTATTATGCAGGATTCATAGGAAAGTCGTAGGACCCAAGATATTCACCATTTTCCTTCAATTGTCTTTGTTATGGTTTAATCGTTTTTCAGTAGCGTATCACTCTTCGTGATCCCATTTGGGGTTTTCTTGGCAAAGATACTGGAGTGGTTTACCTTTTCCTTCCCGAGCTCATTTTGCAGATGAGGAAACTGAGACAAACAGGGTTAAGTGACTTGCCTAGGGTCACACAGCTAGAAAGTGTCTAAGGCCAGATTTGAACTCAGGAAGAGGAGTCTTCCTGACTCCAGGCCTGGCGCTCTATCCATTGTACCACCTAGCTGCCCTTGAATCATGGAGTGTTAGAACTGGAAGAAGGAATATTCAAGATCATCTGCTTCAATCCTTTTATTAAAAGCTGAGGAAATGAGGGCTGAAAGAAGTGGAGAATTGCTGCTAGTTAGTGTCAAAGCTAGGATTAGAACCCAGGTTTCCTGTCTCCCAGGCTGGCTCTCCCTTACCTTCTTGTTTATTCTCTTTATCCCCCCTCCCCATCCCTGCCCCCAACTCATCCTTACCCCCCCCACACTCTCTTCTACCCTGTTTCCCTGAAAAATATCCCCCCTCCAAAAAAAAACAGGTAGTCTGCCAGTTAGAGGATCACCCTACCTCCTCCCTGGGAAATAAGAGGGGGCTGTTGGAATCTGTTCCCAGGAGCAAAATCTCGAGTCTGTTAGGTAGAATCCCTCCCTCCAGAAGGGACAGCCACAGTGTGTCTGTGATTGACCTGAAGTCTGTGTAATCTGCCCTAGATCTGTCACGTCCAAACAAACACCGGTGGATTCAAAGGTTCCCCTTTGCCGGCCTTCTGAGGGAGAGGAACACTGTTTCCATAGGAGTCTAATGGGATGAAAAGGTCTTTGTCTAGGATAGGGCAGCTGAGGGAGGCCTGGCTTCCAGGGGACTCAACCCTCACGTAGTACAAAGAGAGCTGGATTGAGAAGCACAGGACCTGGTGTCGAATCGCAGCTTTGCCACTTGCTGCTGGTATGACTGTGGGCAAGTCACTCTAACCTCTCTGGGCCTCATTTTTCTCACCTGTAAAATGAGATAGTTGGACCAGATGGCCTCCAGGACACCTTCTCACTCTAAATCACTGATCCTGTCTTGGAATAGAGGAGGGTGGGTTTTGCAAGAACCAGCCCTAGTGCGGAGAAAGATAGGCGAATCCAGATGGATTTCATTGGCATTGGTAGGATGGGTGCCTGGAGGACCTCTGACCTGCCATGACCCTGAAGGAAAATCAAAAAACTGGGGACCCTAGAGTAGAAAAAAAATGGGTTTGTTTTCTAGTCCCACCTCCACTGACTGGCAATGACCTTAGACCTGAAGTACAGTAGAAAGAAGGCTGACCTTGGAATTTAGGAGCTGAGCCAGAATCTGGGATATGCTCCTTTCTGTGTGAGCTTGGGCTAGTCACTTGACTTCTGGTCTCCATTTCCTCATCTACAAAATTAGGAGGCTGGAACAGATGACCTCCGAAGTCCCTTCCAGCTCCAGATGTGTGATTAAATGCACTGACTTGCTCTGGTTTCCTCATTGTTGAAGGGGGAATAATATTTGCTTTTCTTTGTAGCTCAAATGGTTGTTAAGATAAAATATGGTATGATAGAGATGGAATCCCTGTAGGAATGTATCATGATGCTATCTTGATTTCATTTCTCATCCACAGGGCCAGCCCCCAAATCTGGTGCTGCACCAATTCTGAAGTGCCCTACCCAGTACCCCCTGATCCTCTGGCATCCATATTCTCGACACTATTACTTTTGTGTGATGACGGAGCCTGAGCAGGAGAAGTGGCTGGCCGTGTTCCAGGACTGTGTCCGGCACTGCAACAATGGTGAGTGTGGTCTGAGGGGGAGCCTGGGTCCCTGGGAGGGGGGGAGGGTCCCAGACAAGTACTCCTGAAGGAGAGAATGGAAGGGAATGGGACCTTTGTGGGGTATAGCAGAAAGCTTCTTTCCTCTTAGGATTAGATTTCATGAAATTCATCAGATTTGGAAAACTAAATGTGTATTAACCCCTTCAGAGGGCAATGGGATACTAGTAGGACAAGGTTGTCAGGAGACTGGGGTTCAGGGCCACCCAGCCCTGTCACTTAAAGAGCTGTGTGATCTCGAGCAGATTATTTTGCTTCTCTGATCCTCAATTTAAGATAGTATAATGTAGCAGGAAGTCAAGGGACCCAAGTTCTAGTCCCCACTCTGTTCTTAACTTACAGTGTAACCTTGGGTGAGTTACCTTACCTTTCTTGGCCTCTGTTTTTTCATCTGTGAAATGACAGAAGGTTTCTAAATTTCCCTTTTAGCATCAAGATTCTGTAATTCTATTAATTTTCCCAATAACCTATAGGATAACAGCCTCCTTCTTGGTGCAGAGGGCCCAATAGTGGCTTGAGCTTTTAGACTTTCTACCTGGTGGCCTAGTGTCTACACTTGCCAAATTCTCCCTGGGTTCTGGGAGGGTGACTTCCTCGGTTAAACTTCAAATCTGAAAACCTGGAGGATGGCTCTGTTTTCAACTTCATTGGCTTAGGGGAGGCTGAGAGTTAGAGGTGAGCTCATAGCCGCGTGCTTCAGAGGCACACCGATGAGCTTCCTGCTTTCCCTTCCCCTTCCCCCTCCTGTCATGGCATGCCCCAGCACAGGTTATACCTTGCATGTCTCTGCAGGCTGGGAACAGAGACCTGACAGGGTTGGGTCTTGGCAAAAGGCCCTGGACTCCGAGCATTTACGTATCACTCCACCCCATCCTCCCTAATCTTTCGGCCAGTTCAAAAGCTACTTCTTGAGTCCAGGCTGGGCTGGAATTTGGATGCAGGGGGGCAGTGGGAGGATTTAAAGGGCTCCTTAGTGAGAAGCAGGTCATCAATCACATCTGAAATGCTTCTGCCACCTTGAGCTGGGCACATTGCCCACCCCACAAAAGGCAGCCTGTTCAGCTGTTCCCCTGGGGGCTAGTGGATCATGGGAGGAGAAGGAAGAGGGTCTGGTGCTGGAAGTGCCACGTTTCAGATGCCACTGTCCAGCGGCCTGCTGGATTCTGGTTGCCTTGTGCTGAGGGTACACCCTGTACCCTTTTCCTCCTTCTCTAGCTCTGAATTGAGTTATATGTTTCAGGGCCTTAAGAAAAACAGTTGAGCAACATTGAAGCCAGGCAGCCTGGCTGTTCCTAAAACCATCACTCTCTAGGCTATGTGCTAGTAGGTAAAGTGGGTAATCTCTCTATGCTTCACTGTCACCATCTATATAATAAAGATCATCATAGTCTTAGGAAATGCTTCAAACAGTTGAAACCAGCTGCACCCTCAAATCCGGAGTGCTCTAGGGAAAAATAGACCTGGCAGACAGAGACCTCTAGCCCTTTGCTAGTGGTCTGGGTGGCAGAGAACCTAGCACTGAGTGATGAGGATGTTGGGGAAAGGTAGAGCCTTGTGAGAATGGATAGCCTGCTGTGTTAAAGGTTGGGCCTCTGAGGCTCCAGCAGTCTGTGAGAAGTAGGAGGTTGGGGCCAAGATCTGAACTGTGACGCAGGTAGAATTGCCGTACCTTCTCTCCCCTCCCACATATGCACGAGTCACCATCAATCTGCTACATTTTTATGCTAGGGAAGTTAGAGAGCAATTATCCAGGTTCCCAAATGGGGTGGTGTCACTAGGCAAGTCAGAGATGGGACCATCTTAGCTATAGATCTCTCCAATCTGACAAATCTATTTGTCCAGAGATGCCTTTGAGGCCATTCACAGTTCAGGAGCTCGGCCTAAGGCATGGGAACCAAGACAGGGCCGCTGACCCTTTGTTCTGACACAGATTTGGTCGGAGGTGTAATGGATAGTAGTAGATTTGGATCAGACAACCTGGATTCCACCTGCCTACTTTCCTATTACCTCTTGGAACTTCAATTTCTTCTTCTAGAAATTGATAGAGTTGGACCAGATAATCTATGAGCTCTCTTCCAACTATGAATCTATGACTTGCTGTCTTCAGTCTGGTAACATGGGTATACGAATAGAATTCTAGCCTCTGAACTGGTGAAGGCCCCTGGGGCTATTTATGACCCAAGTAAAGTAGCCTCAGAGGTTATCATGTAGTCACATTCAGGATGAATTTCCTGCTCAGAAGCATGTCTAGGGCAGGTTTTTCATCCCAGGTTGGTTTCTTCCCTGCCCTTCAGCAGGCAGCTGGTATATTTTACCTTTCTGCTAGTTCAGATTCTCAGGGAATGCAAACATGTTAATGGTAACCTATAATAATGATAGTGATCTCACATTCATATAGCACTTAGATCTATGACTCTGGCTACATGATTGATATGGTGGTGGAATGGTTGTTTTCCACAAGCCTCAGCAACCCAAAAACCTCAGAAAAAGAAATTATGCTAAAGATGAAGCCTCAAGATAAGAGACAGAAACATTGCACGAGGTAAAAAAATAAAATAAAACAAAAACACAAAAAAATCCCTATGAAATAAAAAACCAGTGTCACCACTCTACACGGCAGACACAAGCAGTACAAGGAATCTCATCTCCTTCTGCTTCAGAGCGGAACTTTTGGGAACCTGTGCAACTGTGGAAGGTGGAAGAGGGAAGGACCAAAGAATGAAGAGTGAAACCGGAGATAATGACTTGTCCTTTGGATTTTGAGTCTTTCAGCCTGAGTAAAAACCTAACTTGAAAGTAGATAAGCCTACCTACCGAAACAAACCCAGGAATTATATAAACACAATTACAAAACCCTTTCCGCATAAATAAAGTCAGATCTAAATAATTGGGAAAACATCAGTTGCTCATGGGTAGGCCAAGCTAATATAATAAAAATGACAATTCTACCTAAGTTAATTTACTTATTCAGTGCCATACCAATCAAACTACCAAAAAATTATTTTATAGAGCTAGAAAAAATAATAACAAGATTCATTTGGAATAACAAAAGGTCCAGAATATCAAGGGAACTAATGAAAAGAAATGCAGGGGAAGGTGGCCTAGCCATTCCAGATCTTAAATTTTATTATAAAGCAGCAATCATCAAAACTGCTTGGTACTGGCTAAGACACAGAGTGGTGGATCAGTGGAATAGGTTAGGTGTGCAAGACGCAGTAGTCAATGACTATGGTAATCTACTATTTGATGAACTAAGAACTCACTGTTTGACAAAAACTGCTGAGAAAACTGGAAAAGAGTATGGCAGAAACTAGGCATAGACCAAACTCTCACACCATATACCAAAATAAAGTCAAAATGGGTTCATGATTTAGACATAAAGGCTGATACTATAAGCAAACTGGAAGAGCAAGGAATAGTTTACCTATCAGATTTATGGAGAACAGAAGAATTCATGACCAAACAGGAGATAGAGAACATTACAAAATGCAAAATGGATAATTTTGATTATGTTAAATTGAAACATTTTTGCACAAACAAAGCCAATGCAACTAAGATTAAGGAAAGAAAATTGGGAAAGAATTTTTACAACCGATCTCTCTGATAAGGGCCTCATTTCTAAAACATAGAAAACTAAGTCAAATTTGTAAGAATACAAGTCATTCCCCAATTGATAAATGGTCAAAGGATATGAACAGGCAGTTCTCAGACAAAGAAATTAAAGCCATCTATAGTCATATGAAAAAATGCTCTAAATCACCATTGATTAGAGAAATGCAAATCAAAACAACTACCACATCACACCTATCAGATTGGCCAACATGACAAAACAGGAAAATGATAAATGTTGGAGAAGATGTGAGAAAATTGGAACACTCATGCATTGTTGGTGGAGTTGTGAACTGATCCAACCATTTTGGAGAACAATTTGGAATTATGCCCAAAGGGCTGTAAAAATGTACATATCCCTTTGACCCAGTGATAGCACTTCTAGGCTGTATCCCAAAGAGATCATAAAATGGGAAAAGGACCCACATGTACAAAAATATTTATAGCACTTTTTGTGGTGGCAAAGAATTGGAAATTGAGAGGATGCCCATCAACTGGGGAATGGCTAAACAAGTTGTAGTATATGAATGTAATGGAATACTATTGTGCTATAGGAAATGATGAACAGGAAGATTTCAGAAAAACCTGGAAAGACTTATATGGTCTGATGCTGAGTAAAGTGAGCAGAACCAGGAGAATGTTATACACAATAACAGCCATGTTGTATGATGACTAATATTGATAAACTTAACCCTTCCCAGCCATACAAGGATCTAAGACATCTCTAAAGGTCTCATGATGGAAAATGGTATCCACATCCAAAGAAAGAACTATGGAGTTTGAATGCAGATCAAAGCATACTGTTTGCTATTTTTTTCTTTTGTTTTGTTTTGTTTCCTCTTTCTGATGGTTCCTCCTATTGGTTCTAATTCTTCCTTACAACATCACTAAATGTGAAAATATGTTTAGTAGGAATGCATATGTAGAGCCTATATCAGATTGCAAGCCATCTTGAGGGGGGACGGAGGGGAAAAAATTTAAAACTCAAAAGCTTATGGAATTGATTGTTGATAAATCAAAATAAGTTAATTTTTAAAAAAAGAAAGTAGATAAGCCAACTGGAGAGGCTCATAAAGACAGAAAGAAGAATGAATAAAACTCTGGCCAGTAACAGTTGTTGTATTATGAAGGAAAAAGGACCAAAATTCCCTGATCAAAAAGATAATTCTGCAGACTCCCCACAGAGCATGAAAAAACAAGAAGTAACTCCAGAATGGGTCAAAAGAAAAATAAAATTGTAGAAGATATTAGAAATGAAATTAGGTCAGAAATTAGCTCTATAGAACTTCGAAGATTTGACAGATTTTCCTTCTGAGAAAATAGAAGCTTGAAAGAGAAAGTGACTGATCTAG